TCTCTCTCTGACAAATAAATAAATAAAATCTTTTTCTCTCTCGCTCACTCTCTAAAAAATAAATAAAATCTTTAAAAAAAAAGTTGATATAATATATCTGCAAAAAAAAATGAATTAATATGTATCAAAATTGCTTTAACATGTATAAATCTCTCAGTGATACAGCAATTTTATTTTTCTGCATTTATTATTATAGGCTCAAAAGAGACTTTTTCAGAAAAACAGAAACAGAGAATTTACTACCAAAAACTCAGAATAATTTCCATACTGCACTTCAGATAGAAGAATAATGATTCTAGAAATAAGTTCTAAGATGCAAGAAATAATGATCAGCAAAGCTATTTTTAAATATTTGGGTAAATAAAAAGCTCTGGCTACAAGTAATAATAATCATAATATTTAATAAGAGACTACAATCCTGGGAAAAATTAGGCATAATTTCGGGAAGGAGTGATCAGAGATAAAATATTGAAAGATATTTATTATCTTTAAATTTTAAGTGCACATATTGGGAATAACTAGAGTAATGCCTAAAATTAGACTCAGAATATAAAACTTTCAAACAAAAGTAAATACAGAAAGAGAAAAATAACTTCAATCAATCCAAAAGAGGGCAAGTAAGAGAGGAGGAGGAGGAGAGGAAGAAGAAGAGGAGTGAGAGAAGGTGGGGAGAGGTGGAGAAGACAGAGGAGAAACAGCAATACTGGGACAAATACGAATAAATAGAAATGATCAGTAATCACAAATAGTATAAGTCAAGTTCTCCAGTTAAAAGACAAAGATCATCAGACTGGATTTTTAAAAACCAGCTATGTCCTCTTTACTAAAGACACACTTAAATACAGGACTCCAAAAGGTGGAAAGTTGAAGAACAGAAAAAAGACATTCTGAGTAAATACTAGTCAAAACCAAAAACTAAAACTAAAACAAACAAGTAAAAACTAACCCTTGATTATCAATAACTTTATTGGCAACAGTTAAAATCTTTGAGAACAGCATTACTAGAGATAAATGGAGTAATTACAAAAGGTTAAAATGTTTACGTCACTAGGAAAATATAACAATTCCGAGCTGGTATGCACCTCAACAGAGAGCCCCCAAATATATTTTAAATACAGCTGCAAAACATCGAAAGCAGGAATTGATAGAATTACAAGAAAAAATAACTAATCATTGTGATAGTGTACCACTCTTCCTTCAGCAGTTAATAATGTATCAAGCAGGCAAACAAGTAACAAGGATAAAGAAGATGTGAACAGCACTATTCATAAGTTTGATATATGGATACACATAGACCATTGTGCCCAACAAATGGAGAATAGCATTCTTTTAAAGCACACATGAAACGTTTATGAAAATTGCTACGTACCAGGCCATGAAGCTAGCTTGAACAAACTTTAAATGATCGGCATTATGTAGACCACACTGACCACAATGCAGTTAAGTTGGAATTCAATAATAAAAGATATGTAGAAAAAATCTCATACAATTGGGAATTAAAAAATGCTCTTATAAATAATTACTGACTCAAACGACAACCACAAAAAGCATAGTGGAAAACAGAAACATATTTAGAATTAATAATAAATAATAATAAAACTACATATAAAAACTTGCAGACTTCAGTGAAAATCAAATGTAGAAGGAAATTTTTGGCTTATATGCTTACTCTAAAAAAGAAAAAAAAAAGGCTCAAAATCAGTGAGAGACGATTCATATCAGAGACAATTTATCCAGCCTCCTGCGGTTGATATGATCATGACACTGAGTTCTGGCCTATGGCGTATGGGCAGACGTAATGTGAATAGCTTCTAGGTCTAACCTTTAAATTTCCTTTGCAAGCATCCA